TTGTGTGTTACAGTTGGTGTACATGGGTACGCCAGGGCACGGAGTGTTCAAGGAAGATTATTCACTAGATCCGACCATCGTCCCGTTGTGGGTTGTCTGGAGCTCCCTCCGCCTCCAGAGGGGGGAAGAGTCAAGCAGCGCACACTTCTGGGATGGCGTCCAGAGACGGATGAAGCATTAACACAGTTTAAGCGATCTTGCACCCAATTAGCTGGTCACGACCTGAACGTTCTCCAGGAAACATTGCTACATCTGGGCTGCGACACACCACGCGCGACGTTTTTCTCTCGTAAACGGCAGCAGAGCAGGATTACTAACGACCCGGTGAAGAAGGCGAAGGCTTTGCTGGCGAATGCGACGGAGGCCGACAGACCGAGCCTCGTACGGTCATTTCGGAAATTATGTAGGCGTGCCAGACAGGAGCGCAACGAACGTCGTTTATCTAGTATTTCCTCCAGCCGGCAATCCGGCCAGATGCCAGTGACTCTTACCATAAATGGGGAAAGGACCGCAGACAGGGAGAGATGGAGACACGCAGCCAAAGTCTTCGGCACGACCCGCTTCCAGGACGACGAAAACACCCTCCACGTCCAGGAGATGAGACTCGGTAGATGGGCGAGTCGGGCTTCCAATGAGATTTTGGATGGCCGGCAACCGCCTACACTCTCCGCATTTTCTGCACTGCAAGGGCGAGCCCACATGAAGGCAGGGACGGCCGCGGGAAAAGACGGAGCCCCGCCAGAACTGTACAAAGCGTTACCGTTCACGGCAATCGTAAGGTTTTGGAGGGTATTTCAGCGTCGTTATTTGGGCAAGGAGGTCCACATTCCGGCCACCTGGAAGCAGATCGATTTCTCGGGCTTGAAGAAAATTGTCCGTCCTCTTACGCTTTCACATTTTAGACTCGTTGGTAAATTGGATTGTTGTCAGAAATGGTACACGCATTGTTTGAAGCCTCTTTTAAGACCATCCTTGTCTGTTTCCAGAGTCTGCACTTATGGATTCAAGCAGGGGCGCTGCTGCGATGACATCACCGCGCTGCTCAGACAGACGATTTTCTCGGCCGGGAGGTGCGGGATGGAGCTGGTGATCGGATCCCAGGACATCGAGATTGCTTTCGACAGCACGCGCCGCGATCCAGTTTCGCAGGCTTTCGCCGATCGCGGGGCCCATCCGACTGTTGCGGCAGCAGTGCTTCGGGAAATGTCTGGCATGAAGGGCAGCCTGTCGCTACCCGGCATGGAAGCATCCGAGGAGTTCGCTATGCACCGGGGCGGCAAACAAGGAGGAGTGGAGACTCCAGAGGTTCTCAACGCGGTTTTAGAATGGGCGCTGGAACCGCTGACCCGGAGCTGGCACGAGCGGGGCTTGGGTTTCAAGTTTGACGACGACGATTTGCCATTGACGCATTTGCTTTGGGCTGACAATATTTGGATCATCGCTGGCAGCATGCGTGAGTTTCTTTGCGTGTCGCGGGAGCTCACGGACGTTATACTTTCAATAGGCTTCCGTTGGAAAGACACATCTTCGGAATATATGCCATGTGGGACTCTACGCGACGGCGGTGCTGCAGAGATCGATGGGTGCAGGATGGTTGACCACATCATGTCTTTGGGCACTTACTTGCACAATGACGGAAGCACCATAGCGAGTTTGGAGCACAGATTGGAATGCGCGGAAAAGTGTTTCTGGAAGTACGCAAAATCATTCAGAGGTAAAGGTTCCATCGCTGCCAAGATGCGTGCGTGGTCTGCTGCCCCCTCAGCTTCGGCAGTTTACGGCTCTTGCTCGTGGCATCTGTGCAAACATGTTCTGTTGCGAGCACGGCGGTGGGAAAACAACTTCTCAAGAAAAGCCTTGAACTTGAAGCGCCGGCCGGACGAGGGTCAAGCACAGTACATGTTACGCACATCTCGACGGATGCAACGTTTCTTTCGGATCACGGGCAATGTACATGTGCACTTGCGTTTGTTACGGGAGGTTTTCAAGCACGCGTGGAGAGAGCGCGGACTGCGAGATAGACATCTCCCAAACTATTTGGAGATGGCTCGCTCCTTCCGGACTCGGCAGTGGTGGACAACAGCGTTGGCGACGCAGTCATCCTACAAACGACGTCGGGATGGGCACGTGCACGCGGGGATGGGGCACCGGACAGAATGGGGAGATATTTTCGTCGACGCTTTCGGGGTAGATTGGCGAGCAAAGCGGGATACGTGTACAACGCTTGCCGAGTGGATGCGGCTCTACCCAGATTTTGAAGCCCAGACCTGCGACCGCTGGAACCTGTACAGGCCGAGGGAGCAGGAGGAGGACGACGAACGGCACGTAGGGCCACCGCCTGCGCGCCGATCCCGGACAAATAACCACAGCCTCGACGATCTGCCGGCCACGCATGGCGAGGGCGCTCCGGAGATGCAGTGGGCCGGGCCCGAGCGACACGTCTGCTTTGTCACTGATTGCGAGCCCCTAGCGAACGTCATCAACGGCGAAACGGTCTTGCTCAATCCTGACCTTCTTCCGCTCTTCACCCGTGTGTCCGACAAATTATTCGGTCTGGTGGAAAATGGTTGGATGACGAGCCAGCCGGAACTGAACCCTGTGCAGTGGCGCCGGCGATGCTTCAATAGAATCGCCGACCACATTGCGAATTACACAATGGATATCCAGCGGTCATGGTGTCAGAAGTTTACACCTCCTGTGGACAACGTGTCTGTGCAGAAAGCGAACTATGTCATGCATACTGACGGGGGGACTCGTGCAAACAAGTGCTCTTCTTCAGCGTGGTATGTCGAAGCCCACGTGCAGCTACCGAGTAGGACTGTATCGTTTCCTATCTGCATGGCAGGACGATTTTTCAGCACACCAATTTCTTCCTTTACTGCCGAGGCCATAGCATTGGAAGAAGCAGTAGACCTGATATGGGAGCTTTTGAGAACATGATCATGTGATGCTTACCTTGCAACGTCAGTAACAGGCCAGTGCAATCGCGCTTCATGCCTCCGGAAAGAAAGATGTATGTATACATGCTGCTAGATATCACGGGCTATGGCGCCCATTATTGGGACACCTCTCTAACAAATCTCATACGTGGGTGCATGGCCATTTCCCGACTGCAGTGCGTCCGCTGCTCAAAGACCACGGTCAGGGAACATTACGATCGTGACGACAAGGCTGGCCAAGAGAGGGAGGAAGAGGTGCCAGCAATGATGACGAACAGAAGGGACGATAAAGAAAGGGGTGGGCGTGGACGAGTGGCACAAGGATGAGGAGGAGGCCTTCTCCTCGTTCCTCGCTCTCCTGCATCCCCATCCTCCCTCCCTCCCTTTAAAGATTATCCTCGTCTTCCCCCTCCTGGTCCCACTTTCTCCTTCTCACTCCTCTTCCTGCCTCCTCACTGCAGCTTATCATCCTCGCTCATCATTCGCACCATTATTGCCCACGCCTCCGCATCCTCATTATCAGTGCGCATCCTCAGTTGTCCTACTTCGCTTCACGTCACCCATTCATCCTTCTACTCCTGCTCGTCGTCCTCTTCCCTCCCTTCTCCCCCTCCCCTTCCTTAAGGATCCTCCTCTTCCTCCACATGCTCGTCATCGCCATCTCCTTCGTCTTCGTCCTCCTCCTCTTCTCATTACCCTTTTCGCCATAATCCAATTTCCCCTCCTCTCTTCTCATTTCTCATTGATTCTGCTCGCAACCGCCATGGAAAACATTACCAGCATCAGATACGTATTTAGATGGTGCGACGCAGTCATGGTACACAGCATCAGGCTCGTGTGTAATACGTGTTTATAATTACATAGACACACTCTCCATATATTTGGAGCACGTACGGCACTACATACATATGTGTTCACGAGACGAAGCTCCCGCACAGACCAGGAAGGCGAATCTAGTTGATTCGCGGCGGACCAAAAGATGCGCTGGGCTTCTCGCTAGGACAGGCGCGCGATCTCATGTCTGTCAACGCATCTTCAATTGTGAAGGCCTTGCGTCTGGTGCCGCCGATCCTGAAGGGGGAGCCCGAGGCGTGTGGGAGTCGAGGAATCGAAGGCTGAAGCTTCTCCCACGGAGTGGTGTTCCCCTACGGGGGAGGGCGTCACAACCCCCCGACCCACCTGGGGACCCCCCGACCCACTTGGGGACCCCTACGGGGGAGGGCGTCCTTCCCCCCCCCCCCACCACCTTCCCCAGGACCCCCCTACCCACCTGGGGACCCCCCCGCCCCCGACGGGGAAGGGATCAAAGGGAAAGGGCTTCCCTTCGATTCGATTGATGGAGTCAGCTCGATTTCTCTTTGTCTGGGACGTTCGACGAGGTTGGCCCACGGATAGGGACAGGGGGGAGCGGTGACAGCGACAACGACGACGACGAGGACGACCCAACCGGAACAGCCTCTACAGCCTCTCACGCGCGCCGATTGTGTCGGCGGATTTTCGGACACGTCTTGCAAGGAGGGTGCGGCGATGACCGCCAATCAATCCTGGTCGTACCCATTCTGCTATTCCTTCGTCGTCGTGCTCTGTTTTGTCGTCGTCATCTGGAGGTGTCGAGAGGCATCTGCAGGGGTCCAGAGGTGTCCACAAAGCCTTCTCACACACCTCTGACACACCTGGCAATCCTCATCTCCTCCTGCTGTTCCTTCCTTCTCATCCTCCTCCTCCTCCTCCTTCTCCCTCCTCCTACCCTACACTCCTCCTTTCCTCCTCTCTGGCTACGCTCCGCCTCCTCTGCCTTCTCCTCCTTCTCCTGCACCTTCTCCTCCTCCTCCTCCTCCTCCTCCTCCTCCTCCTCCTCCTCCTCCCCCTTCTCCTCCTCCTCCTCGTCGTCATCATCATCATCATCATCATCATCATCATCATCATCATCATCATCATCACCACCATCATCATTATCATCATCACCATCCTCATCCTCATCCTCACCCTCACCCTCACCCTCACCCTCACCCTCTTCTCACCTCCTCACGGGCTACACTCCGCTGCATCATCCTTCTCCAGGTGCGGGCCCGGAACGCCGTCGGCTGGGGCGAGTACAGCTCGGCGTTTTCCGCCGTCTGCGCGGCGGCCCCGCCGATGATGGACCCTGTGCAGAGGACGATCTCGACGCGCACGTCCATCAAGGCCCTCCGAGAGGAGGATGAGGCAGACGACGAGGGGGATGAGGGTGGACGAGGGACGAGGGAGAAGTGACGAGGACGACAAGGATGACGAGGACGAGGACGACGATGATGATGACGATGATGATGCTGCCGATGATGATGCTCTTGATGATAATGATGATAACGGTGATGATGATGATGATGATGATGATGATGATGATGATGATGATGATGATGATGATGATGATGATGACGGTGACGATGCTGATGATGATGCTGATGATGCTGATGATGCTGATGCTGGTGATGATAGATGGTGATGCTGATGCTGATGATGGTGATGATGATGGCCATTCTGATCATGATGATGATTCTGATTAGGATGAGGAAGATCGTGAGGATGGGCATGATAATCAGCATTATGATGGGAACGATGTGACGAGGGCGATGCTGATGATGGTGATGGTGACGGTGATGATGACGATGCTGATGCGAATGCTGCTGGTGACGATGATGACGATGATGACGATGAAGATGATGATGATGATGATGATGATGATGATGATGATGATGATGATGATGATGATGATGATGATGATGATGATGATGGTGATGGTGATGGTGATGGTGATGATGATGCTGATGATGATAAGGGTGACGATGCTGCTGATGATAAGGGTGACGACGATGACAACGATGATGATGCTGATGTTGGTGTTTATGATGATGATGATGATGATGATGATGATGATGATGATGATGATGATGATGATGATGATGATGATGATGATGATGCTCATGCTGATAATGTTGACGATTATGAGATTGCTGCTGCTGATTATGAGGAGGAGGAGGTGTACGACGACGACGACGACGAGGGTGAGGACGACGATGACGACGACGACGATGACGACGACGATGACGACGGCGACGACCCCGCCTTCGCCTCCGACGCCGCCGACGACGACGACCACGACAAGGACGACGACGACGACGACGCCGACCGCGATTTGATTGTTCAATCCTGGCGTTTTTGGCGATTTCAGTCGCTCGGGCCCTTTACCGGGCCCAGGGACAAGCAAAAATGAGCAGCCCAGCAAAAACAACACATCCTGGTGAGAGGTGTCGGGACTTCTTCGGGCCCGCACATGGAAAACAGTCACATCGTTGGATGCTTGGGAACGGGCTTGGGCGACGGCGCTGGGAGGGGGCGGAGTGCGCGTCGTCCTTCTCCACCTCCTCCTCCTCGTCCTTCTCCCCCTCCTCCTCCTCCTTCTCTCCTCGTCTTCGTTGTTGTCCTCGGCACTCCTCCCTCATCCCTCCTCCCTTTCCCCTCGTCCTCTGTCTCGTCCTCCTCTCGTCCTGCTCCGATCGTTCTCGTCTTCCTCGTCCTCCTCGTCGTTCTCTTTGCTCTCCTGCTGCTCGTCCGCTCGTCCTCTGCGCACTTTCCGTCGCCCTCGGCGTCGCCCTTCCCCTCTTCTGGGTCACCCACCTCCCAGGGGGGGTGTTCTCGTCGTCCTCCTCCTCCTCGTGTCTTATTCGTAGCCATTGTAGCTCAAGTCTCCCTGCTGCATGTCGCAACCAGTGGATACCTCTGCTCTGAGGCTTAGCAAAGCAGCTCTGCCTGGCGTTCTTATGTTGGCGTTCTTTTGTATCCAGCAGCCAGTACCGCACGGGCTCCCTGGCGGCCCCATTCGCTCTTCCTCTGTCCTGCGTGCAGCCTGGTGCAGGCAGGATGGTGCCACCTATGCACCTATGGGCGGAGGTGAAAGTTCGTCACGTCGCGCGAAGCGACGACTCCAGCTGGCCACAGCATAGTGTTGCAATGGCGCAAGCTACCTGTCAGTGGGCTGGCATGGTGGAATCACTCTGACCAAGCGAAGTGCACCAGATGGTTCGTGGCCAAGGGCTCTAGCTACGCGGGGCCCAGGCCGCAATCATGTGCGGCGCCCTCCACCAGGCAGGGTTCAGCCGCGATCAGGGACCTTCATGAGAACACTTCGTGTCTGCTCGTGCCGAGCTGGAAGCGGAGCGTACAAATTGTCATGAGGTTTTGGCGGCGGCAAGGCCGGTAGGTACACGGATTTGTGGTGTGGCCCAGAAGGTGATTAAGTTGGAGCGTCGCCAGAAGTCCCAATGCGAGTCAATCGAGAAGGTTGACAAACAGTTGGCCGTGTTCACGGCCAGGATAGGTGCCCTGCAGAACGGGTTGGCGGACGCCGGGTCTGAACTGCAGGAGTTCCAATGGGAGCAGTTGCTGCTGTCAGTGGTCGCCCCCGCTCCTCCCTGCGGGGCTGGGCGAGACACAGTGGTGCCTGGCCTAGGGATTGCACCTCAGAGCAGTTGGGGGCCCTGCTACGTGATCCCGGCGACGATGGTAAGGTGGCGACTCAGCTCAATGAAGTGATCAAGGGGCTCAGGGCGCTGGACGATGCCAACAGGGAGAAAATCAGGCTGGCTACAGGAAGGCCAACTGCGCAAGATCATACCGCCAACCTTTCGCCACCCGGGGTTGCCAAGGACGCGCCCGTGGATAGCGGGCCTGATCCTGACGACATGTTGCGATCTGGAGGTGCTGACCTGGGGGGGTTCAAGGCTTTTGTCGACGGCTTTAGGGCTGCCTCAGAGGCAGAGGAAGCTAGTTTACGTAAGCAGTATAAGCGTCATCGCGAGCTCATCCTTGCCAGCCTTGCATTCGAGGCCAAGAAGAAGCAGCGAGGCAGTGGCAGTTGCGACGGGGCCGCGCAGCGTTCAGCTCGGCATGTCAATGTGTGTTGAGACAATTCGGTTGTGTGCATGGTCTGGTGGGTCTGGCGGCGATTTGGTAGATTGCAAGCCCTAGCTAGCGAACGGCGAGTATTGCAAGCAGGTTGGCCTCATGCATGCGTGCCGTTCGGATGCCCAGAGATTCCCGGTCGAAGGGATTCAGCGGTGGCCGGGTCCGGCCGGGTTCGGCGATGAGCAGCTCTGCGGGCTCCGCGCGACAAGAGCTATCATCTTAGCAATCGAAGGCCCAGGCCCCGCAGCGACTTCGCAGGACGCAGCTCAGGGATGATCCCTTCTGCCTCGCGCGCAGGTCGTGGGCACTCTTGCGCATCAGCGATTCGGCTGCCCCCGCGCGCGGCTAGGTGGGGACGGGGAAGAGTTCGGCATCGCCCCCCGATGTGCTCGAGGCGCGCGAACAGAGTAAGAATGGCCATCTGCTCATACACGGGTAGAGTGTCTTTTGTCATCGCATTGGCTGCAGCCCCTCCCGCCGTGCCCTGCCGGGCCAGAGCCAACCCTTGAAGGCTTCGAATGGGGCAATGTGGGCGGGGCGTGAGGGCGCGCGGGTTTGCGCGGATGGGTCTGGCCTGGCGTCGGCGGTGGTCGGGCTGATTCGATTTGGTTGGGCCGTCGTCGATTTCTCTGATGACGCTTTGCCCTTGCGAGCGTTGCACGGGCCGCTCCATGGGCGAGTGCAAACAGTGCCTGAGGCTAAATATTGTGTTTTGCTCAGGGCGCTCGAAGTTGCCAGTGAGCCCGCCCCCGTGATCAGAGGTCATCTGTCGCTGATCACGGCCGTCAGCGTCTGAGGCCGTGATCAGAGTCGCGGCCGTCAGCGTGATCAGAGGTCATCTGTCGCACAGCGGAAGCGCGGGGCCCAAGCGCGCGCATCTGGCGCAAGGCCAATATTTTGTACCGTGACTGTGCGAACCCCAGTTTCAAGTGGACCCCCGCTCACCGCGATGTTTGGGCTGTCATGTGCGACCCTTCTGTGCAGGCAATGGCTGGGCAGGCATGTTTGCTGCTCCTGACGCTGCTCTTGACGGGCTGGTCAAGATGCGCAAGGCTTGTTTGCTGGATGCTAGAGCCCCGAGGGTTTTCTCTTGGATTGTGAAGGTCGCCGTGCTCAAGTTCAAGATGAGGGGCCATCTTCTGTCGACCTCAGGGGGCCCACATGTGAGCCCCCCCATCCTGCGCTCGTCGTGAGGCATCGCGAGCTCTGCTTGAACATGCGTCTGCGGTCACAGAGGCGCGCAGTGCAGCCGCTTTGCTCGCGCGGTCTTTTCGCTGATCGCGTTGCGTGCGTCCGACTGCAACCCTGCGCCTCAGCAGCTAGCAGCTGCGGGTCGGTTCTTGGAACTTACTCCTAAACAGTGCCAGCCGCTCAGGGTTGCGCCAGCTGCTGAGAGTGTTAATTATGCTAGATGTACTGCCCGATGCGGGGAGGGCATTTGAGCGGGGGGCGGTGAGGCATCGTGAGCTTGGCCACGAGGCTGAATGCCACGGCAGGTTGATCATTTGCCTTGAGTGCGTTCCTTCGTGGTTGATCAGGGGAGGAGCCCCGAGCTTTGTCGAATGTCAGCTCGATGTGGAGCCACGAGAAGGCCCAAGTCTCCAGGGCCTTGCGCGGTCTGCACCCCAGGTCCAGGGCTGCGCTGACTGCTCTGCCGTGTGATCCGGGCCCCAGGCGCCACTGGGGACAGCCGCCTGAGGCGTCGGGGGAAGAGGGCGGGGGCCTGCAGGCTCTTGGGCCTCCTTCGGTGGCGGCGGCGGAGCCTGGCGCTCAGCTGTTCAAGGTGGCCAGAGCCTTCGGCTTTGAGGAGGACACCCCACCCCTCGTGCGTGCTGCCCGCGCCTCCGCCCTGGGGTCTGATGACCTCGGTTAGCTTTGTTTCTGTCGGCGCTGCGGTGTCAGCTCGGGTTGCCCGCGTTCGCCACCGTGCGCGGTCCCAGCCCGCGCACCACACTCGCGCCGTGGACCCGTTTTACTGTCGTAGCAGCTCGTGCAGCTCATCTGCCTCGCGAAGGCCTGGGTCTGCTTCGCTGCGCCCTTTGCCCTAATTCGGGGGTTGCCCATTGACTCGGGCACTTCTACTCTGTCCCGCAACCTCCTCGTGTCTTTCGCTTTGCTGCAGCGCCGTGCGCCAGTTCGGTTTCAGCGGGATTTGCGATGGAGGCTTTTCTCTTTGGGTTCAAGCAAGTTGCATCGCATGGCATTTCCCCTCCCCCCCTGTCCGCTGCCTTCAAACAGCTCTCGGCCGGAAAGGCGTGCAAGTCAAGTCTGACTTGCGCGGAGTCCAGACTTCCTTTCGGGCTTCGCCTGGCCACAAAAGACCCTTGACCCCCCCCCTGAAAGGCAACGCTAAGCTTAGTGGAAGACGCATTGACCCCCAATCGCCGATTCATCGCTTATTGGGGACCGATAGCCCACCCCGCCCAAGAAGGTGCCCTTTTGCAATCGTGGGCATATCGCCGATCTGTCCGCGATGTACCGTCATTTCTAGCTCGATGTTTCGCCACCTGAGCCAGTGCCTCCCCTCATCGACCCTCGGAGGCAGGAGCTGCTTACCGAGGTGCGCGCGCAGGTGGTTGGTTTAGTGGTTCAGTTTAGCTCTGGCTGCTTTAAACGCTTCGCTTTCGCTGAGTGGCCAGGGTATTTACTCTTAGCCAGGTCATCCAGGTTTGACACCCCCTCGGAGACAGGAGGAGGGGGAGGACGAGAAGGGGGAGAAAGACAAGGCAAGAGGAAAAGGAATCGGAATAGGAGGGTCGTGTCCCGGGCCCAGCCAGGTGGAGTGGTCGCCCCCGTCGGTGGACGGCGGCGCGCCGGTGTCGAGCTACCGCCTTTACAGGGCTACGGGCAACGGGGCGTTGTACCAGGCGGGGCCCCAGCGGCCTGTCGCCGTGAGGACGCGGCCAAGACGCGGCTCTCTCAGACCTCGCGTCGGAGGAACAAATAATAACACGATGGGCTGTGTTTTGCTTACTCGGTCTCTGGGGCAGGCCCTGGGGCCGTCAAAAACGTTCAGGATGAAAGGCCAGTCCTGAGGAATGGGTCGAGACCTTTGGGGGTCCACGTTGGGAAAAACATGACGTCTGGGGTCTTGGGACGTGTCGCGTGGTGATACGTTTTTCCATGCAAGCCTACTTCCTCGATTTGAGGCCTCTAATCAGTATTGTTGAGTCGAAGCGATCCCCATCCCCATTTGGCTATGATATCTCAGCCCCACCAGCTAGTCTCAACAAGTGGGAATGGGCCCCGAGGAATTCGAATGGGACAGCAGATTCCCCCACCTAGGGGGCAAGTTGGCCAGTGGGGCCAAGGCAATGCCAGTGGGATGGGGACCGGTTGAACGATGCTCATATCTGACCAGATCCCCGACGATCTGATTCTGCTCCAGCCCCGACTGTTTCTTTCGATCCGTAAGGGCTTCGCCCCCTGCCGCCGGCCCCCTCTTTCGGAGAATGGGCCATGGAAGAGCAGGTTTTGGACCCTGACCTCGCGGATCTGCGTGAGGGGTGGCACCGAATTTCAGAAATGTGGCAAATCCCCTGTGTTTTTGGACCCTGACCCCGCGGATCTGCGTGAGGGGTGTCGATTTTGAGCCCCCCAGCAATTCAGACAACGCGCCCAGGTGGTGCTAAAAATCTGGTTTGGGCCTCCCTCCCCTCGCGCGGTCAATCAACTAGTTACAGTAACCAGCAAGAAGCAGAACTGTAACACTGGAAACTACAAACTACAACTGGTACAGGAAACTGCGAATCACGGGCCTACAGCCTGGTGGCCCCACAAGGGGGCCGGCGGATCTATGTCTCCTGGGCTCTGGGGCCCCGTCGTCGGGCCCTGAGGCCGTCAGGAATGGATCTGGGACAGAAGACAACTGACAAAACTACCCCCGGGGGAGAGGGGGTCGGGGCTTCTGAGGCCACGTGCTGAACAAGTCGCATCGTCGGTCGTCAGGCAAGGGTGCATACCTCCAGGCCTCCCAAGTGCGGCACGATGAGGAGGCCGATTCTCTCCACGCCAACTTCGCCGACGCATCGTCGACGTCGCCGATGCATCGCTGGTCAGCGATGCTTCGCGATCGTTCGACCCAATGGACTCGTACCCCATTTGGGAGGACTCTCATACTGGGAGCTGCAGCTTGAAGAAGAGAACGTGGCACAAATATGAACTATCGGAGAAACTTGCAGATTCCATTCTCTTGAATCGACCCACTCACTGGCGCGCGGAGCTCGACATGGGCAGCGCCAAAGGCCCGCCAGGGGGGTCAAGCGCCAACCCAAGAAATCCGCGCGGACCTCCAACATTGTATGTTATGCATATTGCGAAGGCCTTACGGCCAGTAGCGACGACCCTGAAGGGGGACGACGACGACGACGACGACGACGACGACGCTGACGTGGGTCAGAGTCCTCAGGGATTCTGTTTGTGGTCTCTTCAGAGCGCTCTCGGAGGCCCCTGAAGGGCAGTTTTGGGGACCCCTTGGGATCATCTTGGAGGCCTCTTGGGAGCCCCTTGGGAGCCTCTTGGGTGCCTCTTGGAGCCTCTTGGGGGCTTCGTGGGGGCCTCTCGGGGCATCTTGGGGGCCTCTTGGGGGCCTCTTGGGGCCTCCTCGAAATGTCCGTTTGGTTCCCATGTTGTATGTTTACGCATATGTTGTTGTGTGCTGTAGTTACTGTGGTGGTTGATGATTGTTGTTTGTGTTACTGCTTTTCCTTCAGAAGCTGGGTGCATGCCGAGAGCTGCACTTCTATGTTCTGAAACGCACGTGAATGGTCATATAATATACGACGGCGCAGGCTTTATATCGCGCAGTGGGGTTGAGGGGGGTCGCCCTCCGCCAATGTAGCTAGTATAACCCGTACGACAAGTTGCGCCGCGCTGAAGCGAGGTCCTGATGTTGAAGATTTATCGCCGCCTATTTGTGTAGTTGGTGAAAAGCCGGCCATCTATGGAATTACTCGTCATTTGTATGAAAGTAGCAGCAGGGGGCTATCCGCTTGAGTTGCCAACTTCCGGGATGTATTATTTCAGTTGCCTACTGGCGGGAGTTGTGCTATCCACCACATGAAGGAAACTCAGCCTACACAGTATCTGACCATTAAACGTAATGAAGCCTCAGCCAGAGCCACATGTTGATTACCAACCACCCACCATTCGCGCAGCTGTACCAAGGGGGAACAAGATACGAAGGGACAGAGAGACGGACGAGGAGGAGGAGGAGGACCAGTGGAAACCCAAGAGTCATCAACGATGTTGGAATAAACCCTCCCTCCAAGCTCCCTCTTCATAGGCCCCTGCAACCGTTCATTTCCATTGAGGGAGCTGCCTCGTTGGAAGACAACCGCTTGAAGACCCTGAAGCATTCCAGAACACTGCTCTTGGGATTCCAACACCACGGATCAACCTGATTGTTGCGTCTTGGTGATCTTCAACCGTGCCAGAACACCATTCCTGAGACTTCAAACAGCGAGTCAACGTAACTGTTGCGCCCTCATAATCCTGAGTCCTTCCAACGCACCATTTGTGGTAAACTGACCATGGGAATCCGTGAAATCCTTGCAAATATTTGAAACGAATGTGCGCGGCGCTGAGGCGGGCGCCACATTCTGAAAACCACCCGCGCACACTCCGTGAAGCTCTTGCAAATGTTCAAATCGAATATGCGCGGCGCTGAGGCGAGAGCCACACTTTGGAAACCACCCGCCCTTGATCCGGGAAACTTCTGCACATGTTTAAAGCGAATCTGCGCGGCGCCAAGGCGAGAGCCACATTGCGAAATCAGCCCGCCCTCACTCCGTGAAACTGTTGCAAATGTTTTAATCGAATGTGCGCGTCGCTAAGGCGGGAGCCACATTTTGAAAACCACCCACCCTGCAGTTGTGAAGCTGTTGTCGTTTCAAAGCTTCAGGGCCATATATGGGGAGGAAGTCTCAAGCGAAAGGCCCGGCACGCCCTAAACACTTGCCCCGGGGTGCGACATGGAGACGATATTTATTATGAGTGGAGGAAGAGGACTAGGATGGGGAGCATTCGAAAACAATGTGCCCGAGATTCCAACGCTACGGATCAACCTGACTGTTGCGCCTTGATGATCTTCAGCCGTGCCACAGCACCATTCCTGAGGTTCCAACAAAGCGAATCAACGCAATTGTTGCGCCCTCATAATCCTGAATCTTTCCAACGCACCATTTGTGGTAAACTGATCATGGGAACCCGTGAAACCCTTGCAAATATTTGAAACGAATGTGCGCGGCGCTGAGGCGGGAGCCACATTTTGAAAACCACCCGCGCACACTCCATGAAGCTCCTGCAAATGTTCAAATCGAATATGCGCGGCGCTGAGGCGAGAGCCACACTTTGGAAACCACCCGCCCTCTTTCCTGAAGCTCTTGCGAACGTTGAAAAAGAGCGTGCCTGGCGCTGAGGCGAGAGCCACTTTGTGAAAACCACCTGCCCTCACTCCGTGAAACTGTTGCAAATGTTTAAAACGAATGTGCGCGGCGCTGAGGCGAGAACCGCAATTTGAAAACCACCCCCCTCATTCCGTGAAATTCTTGCAAGTGTTTAAGATGAGCGTGCGCGGCGCTGAGGCGAGAGCCACACTGTGGAAACCACCCGCCCTCAATCCGTGAAGCTCTTGCACGTGTTTCGGCGAGAACCGCATTTTGAAAACCACCCGCCCTCCAGTTATGAAACTGCTGCCGCTTTAAAGCTTCAGGGCCATAGATGGGGAGGAAGTCTCAGGGGGAGCGCCCGGCCCGCCCTAAACACTGCTCCAGGGTGCGACAGGGAGACGTGATTTATATGGAACAGGAATGGAGGAGGAGGAGACTAGGATGGGGAGATCGGAGCACGCGGGAGGGAGGGCGAGCGGGGGACGAGGAGCAGGAGGACATGTGGGGAGGCAGACCATTTGCGCTTCCGCCATATCTGACATCCTGCCCCCCCCACCTATCCCTTCCCGTTGCGCGAAATTGTTTGCAGTCCGTGTGTTGGGATGTTCTAGTTGGCCTTTTTTATGCGCGATGACTTCATCGTGAAATGCGCAATCAGAAATGGGAGCGGTGTACATTGGGCGAGGAAAGGGAGGATGAGGGTGAGGTCGAACAGGAGGAATCTTATTACGATGCGGAAGGACAAGGCACAGCAGGAGTAGCAGTAGGATGAGCAGGATGACCAGGGGAAGGCGGCGGAGGGACACGGAGGGAACGGCAATAACGAGGAACGTTTTGGATGCAGAGTTGTGACCTGCGTTAAGGCGAGAGTGCAAGTCTGAACGACTTTGGCGAAGCGCCGATCCTGTAGGGCGGCCAACGCTGAAGTGGGAACATCAGTCGTAAAGGACCGAATGCGTTCTGATGGGACAAGACAAGGTTGAAAGCCAGCTCGGGGCAATCTCGCGTGTAAGAAGCAGTCTGTCAGATAGGCCGGGGAAAGCCAAGCCAGCATCAGGGGAGAGAGGGCAGCAGTAATCATGTCATGCAAGGTGCGTTCGCGCGCGATCTGACGGCCCACCCCTCCTTCCATCCTTCCCATCCGTTTCCATTGCATTGAATCCTTCTGCATCCGCAGAGTTGGGTGTCTGGAAAATCCTTGAACGCCATGGTCTTTCCCGACAACCGGCTCGGCTTGCATACAGTATAGCACGGCGGGTAAACGCATTTTTCGGGAGAGAAAGAGCACACGCGGAAGTTGCCTTCTTTTTGAAGGCTGGGGAGGGGGGCGGCCATCTCCGCGGTGAACGCGCCGTTCCGTTGGACGGAAGCTCAGTTGGAAGCAATGCGTCACACGTTGCAGCTGGAACACCATATCTGTTGATTTCATAAACACAGCGGCCAGCGTTGCGGAGAGAGCGTCGTGACTTTCGACGGGG